TGATTACAGGCGAAATAAAACCAACTTGTTACACGCCAATCAATGCTTCATCGTGACGTGTGTAACATAATCTTGGCGAGCCAGCCAGGAGCTAAAAAAAATAATAAATATAATAAGCATCCTGAGACAACCTACCTGTGAGCCGAACCTAGACGTGACAAAAGAGCTAACATGGAGCAAGTACTGGATGAGATCATTGCAGCGCTGTGGACTTTGGGGAAGCCAGAGCTCATCAAAGTGTGCCAGCATCTCAAGTGCAACGAACCGGCAGGTGAAGGGTTCAATGGACAGACCCGCCGCGCCCTGATGAAGAGGGTGGAAACCACAATTGCCGAAATAGAAGATGGTGAGGACCCCCAGGTGTTCCAGCAGTTTGCTAGCGAACTCCAGTCAGTTGTCCAGACGCTTAAAGCACATGAAAAAGCTGAACCAGAATCACAAAAATCAGAAGTTGTCGCCCTAGAAAGACTCAAGCAGGAATATGAGCAACTTCGGCAGGCTCAGGCAGACGAATGCCGCATCCTGGAGGAGAAGATGGGAGCTTTGAAAGCGAGATTGAGCGGCACGGCAGTAACTAGTGAAAGAGAGGTGAGTCCACCTATAACACACAGAGTGCCTGAGGTCACATTAAAGAGAGACTTCAAAATATGGGGCCAGATCGGGGAAGCAGGACAGAAAGACAAGCTTTCTTTCACCAGTCTCAATAACCAGATCGAGTCAGGCATTAAGAAGGGATACTCTGAAGATGAAATAATCGAAGCTGTCATCAAGGCCGTTAGCCCTGGCCTTCATCTCAGGGACCTGCTGGAAGTGAAGCGGGACCTCACGCTCCCCACACTTAAAATCATATTAAGAGGACACTACAAAGTTGACTCATCATCAGACCTGCTGCACCGGCTCATGAATATATTCCAAGACCCCAAAGAGTCTGCTCAAGCCTTCCTGTTCAGAGCAATAGAGCTGAGAGAGAAACTGCTCTGCAAATCTGGGGAAGAAGATGAGGGGGAACAGTTCAGCTCAAATCTGATCCAACGTAAGTTCCTGCGGTCACTCGAGACCGGTTTGTTAAATGAAGCAGTGAAGTTCCAGTTAAAACCTTACCTGAGCAACTTAAATGTACCAGATGAGGTGTTAATTGAAAAAATTAATGAAGCTGCTAGCCTTGAAATAGAGCGACAAAATAAACTTAAGAGATATGTATCAGTCAAACCACCCAGAGTAAACGAGATACAAGCAGAGGGGCAGTTCATCCACAATCATCCACCACAAGACAGTGACAACGACACACAGGATGAAAGGCAGAGTAAAGGAGGTGACAAAAGCAGCAAAAAGAAACCAGTGCAACCTAGAGGACCAGATCCAGAGACTGTAAAGTTGA